CTTGACATCAAATAGGTTTATTTTTCCCTTCCCTGCCCTTCCCCTCTGCCTGCCACCACACACAGTGACTCCAATCCTGGTTTGCCCCCCTCAAAAATCCCTCATGCTCAACTCTGGACAAAGTCATGAGAAACTGGCTCTGCTCCCTCTCCAACGGTCTTGAAGGATGTGGTTGGTTGTTCCATGAACAGGGAGTCTCATCAGCCCTGTGATTCACCCCTAGGTCACTTCCCTCTACAGAGAAGAAATGGTTCCCATTTATACGTACGTACGTGTGTGTGTGTGTGTGTGTGTGTGTGTGTGTGTGTGTACACTCACACTCCCAGAATCAGGAAGATGGGGAATGGGCAGCGCTGACCTCTGGGGCTCATCTGGCTAGGATCCTTCTTGTCCTATCTTTACCTGGAGCAACCTCTTCTCTCCCAATCCACATTCTTTTCCTCTCCACTTATTAGGACTCTGCCACTAGGCCCCAGTGCTCAGCCAGGATCCCCTCCAGGTCCGAACAGCTGCTCCCTGTTTACTGGGTGTCGTGTACGCTGGGTGCTTTCCATGGGGCAAGCAGCCCAATAGAGTCTGAACAGCTGGGCCTTCCTTTCGGTCCAGTCTTGCCTTTTCCCTCAGCGTCACCCATGGGTCCTAGATGTCCTTGAGTGCTCTGGCGATGAGAAGCTTCTGTGAGGTTACAGGTGAGGACACTGAGCCCAGAGACACGGGTTGGACAGTTAGGAAGTACCGGAGGCCGTATTTGAACCCCAATCTGTCCCGTATTGCGTCTTTCATAATGCAAGGCCCTAAAAAGGGGCTCTTGCACTTCTTGCTCCTGTGGGGCTGAAGCCATAATCTCAGAGCTTCGAGAATAAAAATGAAGAGCAGAGAAATGAATGAGTTTGGTGCCAGTTCCTAAAAACACAACTCCGGGACCAAAACCAAACTCTCTGATGATCTAAATGCAGGGAGAATGTACTATTTTCATAGGCTCACCTCTCATCCAGCTTTCCAGGAGTCAGTGGAGACGGGCACTGTTCTCCCAGGAAGCTCTCCCTCCGCGACCAGTCAAACCCAGTTTCATGATGACCAAGCTTCCTAGAAAGGCGGCCTCAATGCCCCCCGGTGTCACTCTCTCAGTACCATCTGGGCCTGAGCCTGAACTCACTAACAGCCTCCGACTAGAAGAGCCAGGGCTTCTCCTTTGGGAGGTAACTAACCTAGATCTGACTGAAGCTAAGTGGGAATTCCAAGCAGCTAGCTAATTTCACCACGATCCATCTGTGTAATAAGGATCAAAGACACATACACACACACACACACACACACACACACACACACACGGTACAGTAAATGAACCATCAGGCTCCCAGGGGAGCAGGCCTGCTAGCGCTGGGCACCATGGAAGGTAGCTGCTGACACTGGCTGTATTTGCATTCCCTGGAGTCCTGTGGAGGATCAGGGCGTTCACGACTGGTATTTGTCTGAAATAAACACTCAGGAAAGGAAACAACTGTGGAAGCAGGACACCTCCCAAACCTAAACAGACATAATGCCTCCTTTGCTTTGGATAAACAAGTCTCTCTCCACCACCATATGGCCCTACACACACCTATACACACCTGTCAGTGCAAAGAGTTCCATGCTTCTGAACACGCCTCCCTGTCAGAAGACCCTGGGGGGGGGGGGGGGGGCGGCTGCGCCTTGCATCTGACATCTGCAGGGCCATCTTAAAGACAGGGTCTGAGGCCAAAGCCAGTTTCCCTAAGGTCTCCTGAGGAGGAGCTCATGAAGGGCATGACAGGAGCCCAGCTACCAGACAGGGAGGCTGACATCAGCAGAAGCTGCTCACCCTTCCCAGCCCCACCCCAGGCAGGGGCTGGCAGAGAGGAAGGAAGCCAAGGCTGGCTTCACTATGCACACGACGGAAGATGGAGGCTACTTGTCTGCCTTTCATAAACAGACCTAAAGCACCAGACCCCCCACCTCTGTAGCTCCCCCTCCTTGTGGAGATATGCACACCCTCTGCTGGGTGTCCTGAAGGAACCTTTGCATGTGTTCCCAGTGTCTTGGAGCCAGAGCCGCTCCTCCTGCACCAGCCCCAAGCCTCCCTCATCCTCAAGCTCTGGCTAACTAGTTCACCCATAAAACCTCGGCGCTGCCATTCACCAAAGCACAGGCTGAGCACTCACTCTAGGTGGAGGGAGGCTGGAAGAGGACATGCTTCTCCAGTGTAGAATTTACCAGGACATACGTGACTTGAGTGCAGATTATCCTGTCAGCTAACCACGCCAGAGCAGCCTTACCCAGAACATCTGTCCTTCCAGTGTGGGGTATCTACTATACAGGGGTCAAAAAGGGAAGTGATCGCCACAGCGCCCTACTGAACTCCTTCTATTACTGGGCATCCTTGCGTCAGGCATCTGTGCCCCAAATGGGTAGTGATGTCTCTGTCTTCCTTGTCAGCCTCAACCAGACTCTGGGTATGTTCAGGGAACAGTTCACATCACCAGCTTGGGGCCAGTGATCCGCAGTGCTGTGACTAGCGACCTTGTAAGTGACCCACCTGACTCCCTGTCCCTCATCTGTAAGGAAAGGGTTGCCGGATGAGCTGTCTGACCCAGCCAGCTCCACAATGCCCCGCCATCCAACACACTCCTCTCATTGTTTTCTAGAACTCTGTGTGATCCCATCTGCAGGTGACATCACTCTCTGCCCCAAGAATCACATCATCCGTTCTTCCACGGAAGTGGAGATGACCCCGGAAACACTCTGTCTGTAGAAAGGGAGGGAATGACCATTTCAAGGGAAGTGGACAGGACTTCTTTTGTATTTTCCACACAGTACGCTTTATTATCAATCTTAAAGCGCCAAGGCCCCTTCCTCTCAGTCAGACCATTAATAGCTATTTTTCAAACTTTCTTAGGCAGACTCTCATCAACAGTTAGCTGCTCTCTGACGAGGGCTTACTCCCAGAACTGAGCTAAGTACTTCACAAGGATGATGTCATTTAATTCTCCCCTATGAAGTAATACTATTATTATCCTCACTTTAAAAGTGAGGAAATTAGGGCCGGAGAGATGGCGCGGCAGTTACAAGCGCTGGCAGGTCTTCCAGGGGACCCAGATTCAACTTCCAGCCCCCACATGGCAGCTCACAACTGTCTGAACTCCAGATCCAGGGATCCTGGCTTTCTGCAGGTACTTCATGCAAGGGCTGCGCCAACATGCGTGCAAACAAAACACTCATATATATGAAATAATTTAAATTTTTTTTCCAAACAGGGAAACTAAGGTGCATGGAGTTTTAAAGAATGGGCACAATGCTGCAAGCTAGCTAATGGGTAAGCCAGTCCTCTAAAGAGACCAAACAGTAGCCTGGACTGCCTTTCAATACTGCCAATAGCAGGTCTTGGTCCTGTTAGCTGCTAGTTTGTCAGTGTGTCTTATGTTGTAATCTCAGGCAGAGTTGCTTAGAGCTAAAATCTAATTGTTTAGTGTAAAATCCAAAGCTGGGAAAACACCTGTTGGGGTCTCAGAGCAGACTGCTGTTGCTGAGAGCAGCGAGGACCTCAACTGAGAGCTGGAAAAAAGAACCCTTAAAACAGCATACAGTGCCCCCCAAAATGAGGTTGACACTATTCTTAACCCTGAAAATCCAAAGTTTTCTTTTTTTGTAGGTAGAAGTGCCTCAAACTTGCGAGTCAAGGGCTCTCATACTGAGCAACCTCCTCAGCCCTTAAAGGAACTTTTGGTTTGGTTTGGTTTTTGTAATGGCAATAGAAGCTTTCAACACCAGATGACAAGATTGGAAAGGATCCGAGTCCAGCCCTACTAGTCAATTACAGAGAACCCTGTCTTCAGGTCTGCTGTGATCCAGGCAGAAAGAGTAGCCACGGGCTAGTAAAATGCACCACAAACCCAGCCTCCTTCCAAAAAGGAAATAAAAGGCACTTCAGAAGCCAACGTGCAATCTAGGGCAGCAACCGACAGCCTGTTTTAATTGTTAAAATGAATGCTTTGAGCGTTCTAAATGTTCCTTTAAATGCCTAATTTGCAAATAGGAGGCTGTCCTACTGTCCCCACATCTTCTGTGCCCTGGGTACTGTACTGTGAGTCTCTTCTATCTCAAGTGCAGGAGCAGAACTCAGCAAGCCATCCTCAGGCAGCAAGGACACAATATTTACTTCCAAAGGTGTGAAGGATTGGAAGACAGGATCGGCTGAGATGAAAGGGGACTGTCACACACCCTGAAACCCAGCAGGTCAACCGTAGCCTCTTCTCATTAAGTTTGGGTGAGGGAGGGGGAGGGGCGGCAGGGCAGTCAACCGTGCCTCGAAGACCACAGACCACATTTGCCTACTCGTGTCTGGAGACAGAGCATCACTTACGAGGAAATGACCCCGGCGAAGGGTCACGTCCAGAGGAGGGATAAAAGGAAAAGCCATAGTTCTCCTAACACCGCGGGATACAATGGCTTTAAGAAGGAAATCAAAGCTCGAAGCGAAGAGTGGAGGGGGCAGGGGGCAAAGCGCTTCCTCTGTCCCCAGACCCCAGCCGGTGCAGGCATACCAACAAACGTGGAAGGCAGAAAGCGAAGCATGGGTCTCCGGTCAAAGCAACTAAAAGCATCCCGGGCCGAGTGAGCGTGAGCGTCCCGCGCCCCTAGGGAGCGCGGCGAAAACGCTCTTTCCCAAAGGAACTGCTCCGTAAGAGGCTGACGAAAGCTTCCCCTGCCATCCATCCAAGCTACGGGCGGACACATGACTTCACCGTTGTAACAGACAAGGGCAGCCACTTGCCAATTGCAATGCCAAAAAAAGAAACCCGGGACACAGGAGTGGAGGAAGGACAGAAAAGGTTTCCCTAGAGATCGCAGCCCTGCGAACAGACACTGGCGCCAAGGGCAGCCCCTGGGGTCACAACTCTCTGGGACTTAACAGTAAGAAGAGGCGAGGGGCCATCCCCTGATCTGGCTAGCCCCACACCGGGGTTGGTGGGAGCAGTACTCACATAGTGCTTGGAGGGGCTCCGCCGCTTCTCCACGTCCACCACGGTGGCATCTTGCACGCAGTAGGAGAGCATCTTCCCCACAAAGCGAGTGGCGCCCCCCGGCGGCGTCACCTTCTCATCCCGGCCGGGTTCCAGTTTCTTCTCTGGTTGCCCGGGTCCCCGCGGCTCCGCGCCACCCCTGGCCCACGCGCCGTTCGCCGCCCCGGCTCCCGGCGCCCACAGCTGCGGCTCCCGGGCATGCGACTGTCCTGGAGGGCACG